TAGCATTAAGTTAATTTTAGTGCATCTTCGTTGATTTCTTTAGAAAAAACAGTCAGCCTTATGGGGTAAATTACAATAATTTCCATCTAATTTACAAAAATTAATTTCTTAATGTTGAATATCTTTTATAACTAATAAGTAGTATGTTATATTAGTGCTCAATAATAAATCACATTTTCTACTACATACCAGTACTCCAACCACATAATCCAATATTATTTCTTGTAAAATAGTCAAATTTTTATTAATCTGTTGTAGTAGTCTTCGATGCATTATAGTTGCCACAAGATGCGGACTCACCACATACTTATTAATTATCAATATTCCACCTTTATATTTGGAATAGGTAAGAATCAATTTCTGTATAGAAAGAGTCAAAAAGCACACATACTAGACAATTTGATTATTCATCATCTTAAGAACAAATCAAACATTCAATAGCCATTCATCAATGTAAATTCTAAATTCATCTGATCCCATGATTGCTTTTTTATTAAAAAATTATACATCCAATGGATTAGAATCCAAAATACTTGATAAAAATAGGTTTGTTAATAATCCTTTATGATCAATTTCAAATTAAATATCCTTGATTTAATTATTAAATATTTATAATCATTCCACTAATCAATTTTTTTAATTTTTTATAAGAAAATCTAAAGCAGCTCTGGTAAATACTAAAATTTTTGATAGCCTCCTATTTATTTTTAGAGCTGTATGTTGAAATCACAGTTGAAGATTAATGAAATATTGCTACGATTAGTTCAAAACCCAGAATTTAATAATTACATATAGGCAGAAAATTTGAATTTTATAGATCCTATATTTTTTTTTTATTAAAAATAAAGTAATTATCCTAATTTTAATCTTATGTCATTGAAAAGTTATGATTTTTAAGAATAGTTTAGTTAAATTAAAATATCTGATTCTGCGATTCCCAATAATTTTTCTTCAACTCTCATCTTAATTTAACTAATTTAAACTTTTTGGTTAATAGCTGGCTCCTTCAAGTTTTTTCAAATCCTCTATTGATAAATTTAAAAGAAATTATCTATTGTTTATTATTGTTATAAAAAAACTTTCTAAAAAGCTTTATTTTAAATCAGGAATATTCTAAATTGATTATGATGAGAAGATAATCTATAATTTTCTAATTTAGATAGTTGTTTTTTTGTTCCATCATGTTTATATTAAAAATTTACATGGCAATCATTATTAAATTTTGATTTTAAAAAAGGGTTATAATGTGAGTAGAACAATAAATCTTATGATTTCATCTAAATAGTTGTGATTGAAAGAATTATAAATTTAACAAATCGATTTTCAATGGAATAGAGAACTATTATCTTTTTTGAAAAATATATTTGACATTAAATTTGGTTGTATAACCTAAACTTTAAATAGATGAGATATTATGCAGTAAATACTCTCAAAAAGGGTAATAGTGTGTCTAAGAATTCACTCAATATGTAGAGACCTTTTATTAAAAAAGAAGCCAAGAAAGCGGAACAAACCAAAAAATGATTTTAATCGATCGAGCAAGTAGATTAAAATTAACACTGCTAATGAGCTTGTCTGAATTTAAATTTAATTAGGTATTAAAACTATTGTGCTTAAGCCAACAAATAATCTAAGAGGAAAAATCTAATTCTATGTTTATCTGTTCTTAACTATTTATTCAACTAAATTTAAGCATTTCTTATTATTATTGTTCTTTGCATTTAATTAATTTATGTGCTACTTACCCTTCTTGATTTTTCTAGAATTAAAGTATTAATTTATTTATCATATAATTCTAAAATAATATTAATATAAATCGTTAATAATTATTTTTAATAGAAAATGGACAATAATCTAAAATCATTCAATTTCAATTGAAATTGATTTCATTTCTAGTAAGTTTTATTTAAATTGATAGAAATATATGGGTTTGTGTCATCAGATCTAAAAATCACATTATAAACTTTCACTTAAAATATTTTGCAATACAACTTGAATCCAGTTTATTGTTAACGATTTGAGATTGCTAATAATAATACGGAGATAATTTATATTAATTTTGATAATTTCTTAAAACATATATTATAATGTTGTGATTCAAATTTGAATTAATATCATCAAATTTTATTAATTAAAATAAAAAAAAAATATCTTATGCAAACCTAAGAAACTGAAAAGAAAATTTGTTAAATTCATAGATTAGATGTAGTGGCTGTAGATCTTAAGTCAGAAACTAGATTAGAGGACAAATACTTATGCACCAGGTGCCTAACTGACAAAATAGATAAAGAAAACATGGCACTGCTATTTGAAGCTAATTAAATGATACAAAGCATGAAGACTTAATCTTTAAAGTAAAGCAAGGAAGAAAATACTCTAAGACTCACCAATCTAAAATAATTATCATCATCAATTAAATCTTTTATAAATTACATTAAAACAGAACTTGGAAAATTGCTTCATTTAGTGGATTAATAAATAGAATAAATCCAAAATGAAATTGAATCAAAAGAGACAAAAATAGAGATCAAAAACTTCGATGATGAAATTCAAATTCTATCAGAAAATTATATCGGGAATTTTAATTATAACATACCATAAGAAAAAACCTAAAAATAAAAGGACATCGAACTTATTTAATTAATTTAAGAATCTCTATAATCTTAGTCAAAATCATAGTATTTCAGCTAGATTATGGAATCAATAGATCAAATAAGATAAAGTACTCCAATCATTTAATAGGCAAATATAAACAAAATGTCTGTTAAGGAATTTGATTAACATGTAAGTTCTAATCTATTTATAGAAAACTCCTTGCCTTAAGTAAACCTGCAATAAACATAGTAAAGAAATAATTATGTTCAATCTTAATTTAAACTAACCAAATTTTAGTCGACTAGCATGTGTTGAATGCATTGAGGAAGTTCCTATATAATATATTAGCTTAAAAGAAGCAAACAAAAGGTGGAAACTATTTGTTGGGCAATAAGAAGATTTAATTGTGAAAAATAATTTTAGAAGAGAGAACACTTTTAATACGGTTATTAAAGAAGTTAAATAATTAAAAGATTATTATAATGATTCATTATCAGAAATGTTGATATCAATAGATTAGTAATTATAGAAGAACAATACAGATATTTAAGATATAATTAATTTATAGGAGAAATAGTTATTTGAGTTGGATGAATAATTAATTTAAAAAATTATTGATTTTTTAAGTTTTGAAGATAAGAATAAACATTTAATTGAACTTTAGGAGAAACAAGATAGGCTTGATTATTTATTCTATTAAAATATCAAATGTAAATTAGATTCCCTTATAAAACATGATCTATTATGCAAGTAATAATTGAATAAATTTTGAAAGAATAAAATGGTATTTTAAATAGAATTTAATTTTAGATACTTAAGAAGTAAGAAGAAAAGCCAAACCAGATTTGAAAACAAGCCCCGAGGTCCTCGAATTTATATCAAAGTGTTAATTATAAGACTAATTTTTAGCAATATTTGATGAGTCCGTTGATTTATAAGTAGAATTATAGAAGGAAGCTAAAATTCTTCAATAAAAGGGTGAACTTGAATAAATGATTGAATGTAAAGGAAATGATAATTTGGATACAGTTAATTGCTCATAAATATAATAATAATACAAATAATTTGAAGTAAATTCAGAGAAAATGAGAAAACTGATAATGGCTGAAGAGAATGAAGAATAATTAAATGTAATGAAGAAACAAAAAGAAGAGTTAGATATAAAGATCGAGGATGAAAAGCGAGAGATTTAATCAATTTAATAAAAGATTTTAGATTTAGAGTAGAATGTATAAAAACAAATATCAGGAGTGTAAGAAAAAGTAGAAACACAGGAATAATTATATTTTAACTTATCGGAATAATTTAATTAAGAAACCGTTTCCAAAAACTCATTAAAGTTAAACTTGGAAGAATTTGCTAAGTCTAATCAACTCATAGTCCAATAATTAACAAATTAATAAGATGAAATGAATAAATAAATGGATGAAATATAGTAAGACTTTGAAAATATGAAAAAATCCAAAACATTAGAGGATAAATTGTATCGTTAAAATAAACGATGGATTAAACTTTAGATTAAGAATTACAGAAAATTAATTAAAAGGCAGCTACGAAACAAGAAATTTCAGTTTTAGAAAATAAGATTAGAGATTAAAGAAAATCAATAGATAAAATTAATTTAAAAAAATAAGCGAAAGAAGAAAAAATATATGCACTTTTCACTGATTATTATGAACGCAGTTTTAAATAAGATTTGACCCGCTTTTTATTTGAGGAATCATAGGTAAGTCAATAATTTGTAAAACAATAAATTTTAAAACAATAAATTTTAAAAGAAGAAGAAGAAGAAAAATTTTTTAAAGGAAAGTTTTTAAAAGAAAAAGTTTCTATAGGAAAATTCTTGGGTAAAAATTTTGATTAAAAAAAATACTTCATTAAATTTTTATCTAATTTAAAATAAATAAAAATCTTTAAATAATTAAAATAATATCAACATTAAAAATTACTGCTCACACTATCCACAAGACTTCTCTTAATATTAAATATTCCTATTCTTTAAATACTTGTAAAGGTCTTTTTTACATTTATTGATGAGTGATCTTCGGAAAGTCAGTAAATAGTTGATACTATTTGGCTAATAATGCAAATTATTAGTTGAGAGGACTATTCGTTCCAAAAATTTTATAATAATCAATTGTTTTTCTTATAAAAAATTAAACATTCTTCTTTGGTCATTGATTGTTATTTATCCTCTTTCATTCCTTGCTCATTATTCTTAACTTTCTTGAAATTTCAGAAAACATAAAAAATTCTTCATTAACATTTTAAAATACAATAATTTCTTTTCTCCAAAAAGGGAGAAACATTCTGATTGGAGGTAAAACTAAAAGAATGTATTGACAAAATTAAGGAAAGAAATCATCAGAAAAAGTAAGAAAAAAGTTTGTTATAATAAGTGGTTCTTTGTAGCAAATTATGTTCAAAACTAAGAATAATCCACATATTATGATCTTTGCTTCAAAATACAAGCACTAAATAAATTTAAGGACTTGAATATATAAAGTTCATTAAGAAGAAGAAGAAAAAGGATAAACAAAATAAGAAGAAATTTATAGAACATAAAATTCTTATAAAAAAGGATAGACAAATAATGTAAAGGCAATAGAAAAAAAAAATCGAGTGTAAATAGTTATGATGAGGTACAATATCTAAAAAATGTAGATTGGTTAAGAACGTATAAAATGCATTAGTATAAAAGGTTATGGGAATATAGTTAAAGTAATGGATATAAATAAATGCAAAATTAAAATCATTATATAGCATTGAGGTTTGAAATTTAAAATATTTTCTTTTTTTGGGGTTTAAAAAAATAAGAAAAAAGAATGGGGGCTTTACTGATGTATGAAAAATAATATAGCTTTTTTGGTAATAATTATTTAATTATGCAGTTAAATTCTCAACAACAATCAATAGAGAATGATCAAAGTATATAATTTTTTTGAAGTGTTTTAAAAATTAAGAAAAAAGTTTTTTTTGTTTAAGTGAAAACAGCTTAATAAGAAAAAAAGAGAAAAAATTTTAATCAGTTATTTATTATAAAAAATTTAAATAAAGCTAAAAGAGAAGGAAGTCAAGAAAATTAATTTTGTGAATTTTTTAGTTCCCCAAATATCAATAAAAAAAAATGACTTTATATTTTTAAAGTACTTATGGTTATTTGCATTTCTCTAATCCCCTTTTATTTGATTGGAGATTAGTATCAAAAATAGTTTCTGAGAAGATATGGAATTTGAAATGGTTTAATCTTGGAATTTAAATTTTAAGTAGATAAACCGATTGGATCGAAATATTGAAAATGAGAAATCTAAAATCATGCAGTTTTCTCCTTGCCAGAGTTTTTTGTGGATCATATCTGAGTTTGATTCAAATTTCAAAGATATCTTAATGATCACAATAATATATATGCTCAATAAAACATGAAAATAATAGAAGAGAATTTCTAAAACAGGAAAGAAATTCACACATGAATAAAGAATGGATAGAGGAGAATTGAAATCCGAAAGATTACAATATGGTTTTTATTTCTTTATATGTTAATCTAAGAATATATTAAATCAATTACCATAAATTATAATTAATTTTATTGTCAAAAGAATTAAATAAATTATGTGATAGACAAAAAAGTTATAAAATAAAGGTGTCATACTATATATTAGTACTTAAAGAAAGGATATTTGAAAATTTTCAGTGATAATCAGAATTTGACAGAAAAGAGCTGATATCTGAAGTGAAAGTTACATATTGAAGTGCATCAAAAAAGACAGATGAAGAAAGCTTGTATACTAAAATTGATCATTTTTAACAAATTTTAAACAATCAATTATTTTCACCACCATATGCAATTTAATTATTGAGTATGAAAATATGCTCAAAATTAAAGCTCTTTTGTAGTATTCTTACTTTTAATACATTTTCTTTACTTCTTAATTTTAAATCTAACTAGTTCGAATATCTTAAGAGAATAGAGTTAGAACTATGCAAGATGAAGAGGAAAAATTAATAGCTTGAGACTTTAATCACGCAAAATAAATAAAATTTCCTTATAAAAAATTCAATAAAATAGGACCAGAACAAAAAATAAAAGAGAGCAGTATCTTTATGGCTCTATTCCAAATATTTTTTCAAAATTAATGAAAATTAATGGAGGAAAGACGAGTGTATATGAATAAATAAAGCGCATTTAGATTCACTGATAACTGATGCTTTTTAAAGAAAGCATAAATAATATTAACAATATTAAAAAATATCTTTTTTTGACTCCTTCCTTTGTACTGTTCTCTTGTTCTTTTATTCCATTCCAATATACTTGAAATGATTGGCTGACAACCGAAAATTAGAATTTGGAGAATGGTCAACTCTAAACCTAATTTTTATTGCTTTTCTTTCAAATGCTTAACTCTTTCTATAGCTTATATTCTTCTCTGTCTTTTTCCTTACAATTCTCTTACTCATTTATCAATTTCCCTTTCTAAATAATCAAATTATACAATAAATACTGCTACAGTTCTTCTATAATTCAATTTTAATCTTGAGTTATATGATCATAAAATAACATAAAATTCTAGGAAAACCTATATTTATCTGGTTTCTAATCCTCGAATCTAGTCCTCAAAAAAGCTAGTCTATTTTACAAACCATTTATCAGGTGATCTAACATGATAGGTCAGTTTATAATTGAGATTATTTGGAAAGTTAGAATTATTCCTTTAACAATTGGATGAGGCAATTACATATTATATTTCTCCTTAGGTTCATCTAATCAAGCTTAATATAGAGACAGTTATAGTTATATACTGCGCTATAAAAATTAATCCCTTCTTTCCATTAAATCTTTTTCAGTTTCCAAATATATTTTCGTAAAAATAAATATAGGATGGTTTGTGGTAACTTTATATCTTCTTCATTAATTGAGTTTCAAAAAAAAGACATCGCTTTCCTCTCAAAGCCTCCTTAAATTTATGTCATTATTTGATCAAAACTAACAATTCTTGCCCTCATTAAACTTATTTTAGATCTCTGATAAGTTTATTTCTTAATTATCATGTTAGTCCAATATGTGCCATAAATCATGACCAAGTTATTGTACTTGTTTTTGTATTTATTGGCCATTATTGCGTATCTTATCATCTAATCATCCATTGAAAATAGATAAGCTGCTTCCCATCGGTTTGGGTATCCATAATTGTGCTTCCTTTTTTATGCAGAGTCTTAGAGATTTAGTCTCCTGTTAGAATTGGTATTGCGAAATTAATCTAATGTGTTATTATTATCATCATACTATTATATTTGAGTCCTGTATCTTTTCTCTTTCTTATTCGATCTATCGATGCTCCTTGTTGGTTTTTTTCTTTACTCTTGAATTTTATGTACTTTTTATTCATTTCCTTTCAAGCTTAAACTATGAAACTAATTTATTCTAATAATTGTTTTAAGGTAGAATAAAAAGCGATTTTAAAGACTAAAGATGACAAATAGAATATTACTTGCTCAGTTAAAAAAGGAGCTAAAATTAAATCGAAAGTTATTTTATACTTTTCTAAAGTTTAGAATTAGAATAAAGATATTAATAATTTGAAAAAATGTTTGATTTCTTCCCAATTTAAGGAAAGTGTTAAGTTGAGTTAAATTTTTATCTTATACCATCCTAAATAATGCCTTTAACCTCTCTTTATTCAAATAATAATCCAAAATTGGGTTTTAATATACTTAAATATCTCAGATTAAATTTTTAGTTTGTAAAAAAATTTATGTCTCCTTTTTTAATAGAATTCATTGTAAAACTTTTTACTAGATTTTACATATTTTGTGATTTGTAGATTGTGTAAGGATTGTATGAAGCTATATTCTAAAGATGATGACTGATACATCATTAAAGAATAAGAATACTGAAAAAGAAATAACTGGAAGGAAAGAAGGATAAATTGTAAAATGCTTTGATTTGTGTTAGTTTGACTCTCATTGGCATTACAAAAAAAAAGAGCAGGTTAGGTTTAGGTTTAGGTAACTGATTGATTGAGCAAACTAGGGTTGATTTCAGTAGATTAGTAGGGATCACTCAATCCTAATAATAGTATTGTGGAATTCAATCAAAATTAGGTCATTTAATCACCAATAGAAGTTTCCAAGATTAAAGGTGAATGATAATATTTTAAGAAATGAAAGCATAGAAGAATAGATTGGATATCAAAGTTAAGAATTCAGTAGCCATAGTAAAATAACTTATTAGGAGAAGGATAGACATAGAGTTATCAAAGTTTATTAATAATTTAAAATCTATCAAACAAAACTATTAAGCAGATATAATGCTGGAAAATATATATAGAGTGTATAAGAAGCTAGAGTTGTCTAGTATACTTACTCATAAATCTTAAAGTATTTGATATTCATTGTTTATTTTTCTACTTTAATAAATTCAATTAATATTTTTTTAAAGCTTTACCACGATTTTCAGTATAAACTAATCTAATTAATACATTATTCTCTTTTTTATCTCTTGAAAAATTTAGCTCTATGTTTCATCAAATGTGATATTCATTAAGTATGTAACAAATCTTGATTAATTCTTTTGTTTAATACTCAAACTAGTAAAAAACTTAATCAAAGAATTAACTATCTGTAAAAATTCACAAATAATTTAACTATTATTATTGCATCTTAAGACCAAAGAAGAATGAAATTTTACATCATCGCTTGAATTCTTCATATAATATCCTAAAAATATTATTGTAATTTTTTTCTTAGAAAGTTTAAACTTTCTCCTTATCAAGGATAAATATAAAATAACATACTATTTGTGATTGATAAATTACAATCATTACTAGATGAATAATGCATTTTGATGCCAACATGATAGTCTTTTTATTGTTTCTGGATGATGGTTAAAGAAAAGCACATAAATATCTAAAATTCAATGAATAATAGGAAAATAAACCATGTTAATTGAATTCAAGCAAAATGGCATTATCTGCCTTCTATAACTAGCTTAACCATGGTGGCGCTTTCATAAGACATCTGTCTTGCCTTACACATTATTTCATAAATTTTCTCTTAGTGCTTCCCGTCAACCTTTGGTTTCTAAATTAGCCCTAATTCATGCATCGACAACTAAAATTAAATTATCATCTGCCCAAACTATAAATGTAAATATTCCAAGAACAGATAGATAAAGAAGTTGATGGACAGGAAATAAAAGTTACTTTCAGAATTTGACATCTAGAAAAAGAACAAAGTTGAAATACTTAGTACCTCTTCTTATGGTTCTGAAGGCTCAGTCACTATAATTGCTTAACGATTGATCGAGAAATAGATTGAATTCATCATGATGTAAAATGAAATACTGAGAATGATTTATTGCATATAAAGGATTAGAAAAAATACAGAAAAGAATATTAAAATAGGAAATAAGTAAATCTTAGGCGATTCCTTTGTAAGGAATGTAAAGTAGTTACACCATGAAATATGGAAAGTAAAAAAAAAAGTTACATTCAAACATCTTGGATTTAACTAATAATTTTTTCTTTATATAAACAAATTTAATTTACATAAATGATTATGAAAAGCCAATGATATAGGCTCAGACGATAAAATTTAAAATACCAAAAAAGAGATAGCAGGAAATAATGGAATTTAAGAGGAAGGTATTATTAATAGTATTATTTAATAGAATTGGTTAGAGACAGTAGGTTATCATTGAAGAGTAGGATAAAGATGCCATCTTCTTCTTCTTAGGGTAATATTTTACAACTTAAAATTCTCTAGATATCTCTGCCTTTGTGTTTAAGGATAATATAGATTATCTTCTGTACTAACCAAATCTCAAAAATTGATCATACTCAATATTTATCTTTAATATGGATGACATTCTTTTATTCCCAATTACTTTCTTAGATTTTTTGAGGCTATAAAATGATAATTTTCATTTTAATTTAAAATCATAAATGACATTTCTTTTTTTTATTATAAACATTATGGTGACAATAGGGATAATAAAAAATTACTAATACTTTATTTTTTCTTTCAAATGAACCATACTATCATAAATTTATCCCCTGTTAAGGTCAAATCTATGAATACTCGCATTCAAAATATATATCAATTAATTTAAGTATACCTTGATGAAAATCAATCATTAATTCTAGAATTAATTAAGATAATCTATAATTTGGCTCTATTGTCTGAAATTTGTTTAAATTAAAACAGCATAATCTAAATAACAATTTGTACCTTAATAAAATGAAATGTAATTTTTTATATACTTTTAAATAAGAAATGCCTGGATACCTCTTTACGTCTCTAAATGTGTATTAGTAAAACAACGATGGTACAGGCAAATGCCTATAAGTTTTTTGGTCCGTAATTAAATAGACACTGAATAATAATGGAGCAGAAATGTCAGAAATGACAAATTCAGATGAAATTCTGAATGATATCAAATGAAATTAGTAGAGATAGGTAAGATTAGGGAAATAGAAGGGACAGACATAGTAAAAATAAAAAGTGAATAAAATCTTAATTAAATCTCGATATTATGTTTGATAGACATACGAATATCTGGTAAGGTAAAAAAGATTTTAAAATAAGTTTATATCCTAAAAAGCATGTTCTCTTTAGCTATTTAGTTTCTTTTTGTCTAGATCAAAATTTGCAATTATAATTATTGATACTTAATAAAAAACTAGATTGCATTTGATTATTTATCTAATCTTCGCAGATTGGATGCTTTCCGTCTTTCTAGATTGAGAATATATTTTCGGTGCTTTTCCTTCAAGATCTCCTGTTGTAACTTTCCAGGCAGACATTCCATCCTATCCTTGGTTAAATGGGTAATTGAGAGAAAAAATTTTCTTTCTGTGTACTCTATTTGATATTTTATGTCAGGTTTCAATATTTAATTGAATTGAATTTAAATCTTTTAAAAAGCAGTCTTCTCATTTGCCTCTTTTCTAGAAATGATATATTTAGTTTAACATTTAATCGTTTTTCTGGCTAAGCAATAGGTTTCCTCTAAGATAAAGTATTTGGTGAACAATAAAGCTTCAATAATTTCCTAATTCTTATTGGATATTGAAATATACTAATATCCAATTCTATAGGATAACTAAAGTTATGTTAAGAAAAAATCTCAAAGAGTACATTCTATATCTTTTAACCTAACAAGCCTTCTTCCTAATACTTTATTTTTAATACCAATGCCCTTCTTTACATTAGTATCATTTAATAATTTTTTTGACCTAACTAAATATAAGATTTTTATTTATGAAAATCTTTTGTATATACTTCTACTTCTTAACGAGATTTCATCTTATTTTTTCTTTCTTCCGCTAAAGTTTCTGGCTTATAGTGTTCATCTTGCCATGATCAATATATGGTTTCACCAAATTACTTTTTAAGAACATTAAAAGAATTTCATCATTATATCATAGTTTATTATTTAAATTCTTTTCATGTATACCTTTTTTCTGTCCTTAGAAGACAAATATTTTAACCACTGCTTAATTTAATAAGGGAAAAGAAGTGAAAAAGAAAAAAAATATAATATTTTGTGATATTCTGTTAATTCAAACTTTTACTAGTTTGTTAAATAAAAAGATGATGAATTTTTAATGCAAGGTCATAATCAATAAAATGAATTATAAATTCTAACTCAACATCTTTTACTACTGGTATACGTACAAGAACAGAATTGTGGAATATGACCTGCACTATATTATGGTATTACGGATTATTGATAATGGCTTGATAAAGCACCAAAGAGACTAAATTTGATGAAATTGTATGGGCAATTATCCTTTATAATACAGGAAAATCATTGAAGTGGCTCTTGCAATCTTTTAAAAATGAAATCCAAAAACAAGAGAGAATGAAAGGAGTTGAAATAAACTTTGGGATTAGATTTCAAATAATTAAAATTATAACTAACCAACAAATATTGGGGATATCGTTAAAGAATGAAATAAGATTTGAAGAGTCTCATATCTTTACACTTTATATTTCATGTGTTACCTACATTTTAATTTCTTAATTTTTCTAAATTGGGTTCATTAAAATACTATATATCGCATAAATTTTTACTATTTCTTTATTTAAGTAATTTTTCACTCAATTTTTCTCATTAGTAAATCTCAAATATACTTATTGATTTCAAAATTAATTTCCTATTATGCTTTTTTGGCAATTACACCTCATAATTTATTTATTTTTGTTATTATAACGACCATAAAATGATTTATTACTACTATTTTACTTAAATATAAATAGTTCTTTAAATCTCTAAAATTTTCAAATAGGTATTCATAAATCTTTTAAGTTGTAGAGGGATATTTTTCTTCATTCAAATTCTCTGAATTTAGACCTTTGCTTATAAGTTTTAACTTCCAAAATTTCTTAACATTCTGAATATACAAAAATCGAATTCTGTTTGAAATTAACATTTAGGATGAGCACAGTTTTGATAATTGTAGAATGGATATTCTATAAATAAGTTTATCTCGAATATTATGATCGGGTCCTTTCTAAATTATATAATGTTTAAACGTATTTATGCCTCGACATGAACTATTGATCTGATGCTGATATGAAATCTGTAATATCTTACTTTAATGAAATCTAAGGTTATTTTGCTTCTTGTGTTTTAGGGCTTCTTTTTATTTTGTTTTCACTATCTTGTTCTGATCTTGTTCCTTAGTCTCACTATAAATTCTTACTCAATAATTAATCTATTGTTTGGCTCTTTTAGTTACACTTTATGGTATGTTAATGTTTAAATTTCCTCTGATCTAGTCTCTCCTATCATATATAATTACGACTTCATTTCGTCTTTATTATCTCTAAATTTTATCAAGCATCTACCTAAACTGTATTTTACAATAACAATGTTGATATTCAATCTTTATTTGCTTAATTAATATCATCTCTCCTAGTAGAAATATATTCCTGGATTATGGTATTAGTATATGATGTGAAAGTTCCTACATTTCTATTATAAAGAGTTATTCCTTGCCCATTATTAAAACCAATTTAAACTTTACACGCATTTTAAATGGATTATTTCTAGCTCTTTTAATGCGAATGTTCTCTGACATTCTCTTGATTACTTCATGATCCAATCTTAATAATCCATAATAAGGTTTAATTTCATTTTTATTTAATTTTTAGCCTCTATTATTATAATTAATTCTGGGGCGCTGACTAATCTTCTAGCTATCATTTCTTATTCTCCTCCCAATTTATTATAAGCTTCTACTTACTAAAATATGGCCATACACGGATCTATCTTGTTATTTTTCGTTCCCCGATTTCTATGCCTTTTAATTTATTTCTTCAGACTCTTATTATTCATTTGTATTGAGTTTTAGTCATTTTAATTTATTACCCTTTAGTAATTTCATATTGATTCTAAGTCTATCAGTCTCTTTTTTAACACCCTTTACTTTTGCTGCCACTTGTTGACCTTAATTGAAGTTAGCAATGCTGTCTAAATCCTTATTAGTTTATATTCTCTTCTATGTGGTATCTAATCTTTAGTAGCTCATTAATATGTGATAAGTTGATCTTTTCCCCTCTATGATGATTCGGTCTGATGATCAAAAAATTAATTATATCGTTATGTATCACTACCCTACCCTTTAGAACTGTTGATATTATGCTTTTAAATAAACTATTT